AAGTTATTTCTATATTTTTAGCTTTAATCAATAAAACTTATAAGTAGAATTTGTGAGCTTAGCCCCAAACGTAGCGTTAACTTTGTTTTTTTTAAATTGGGTTGGCAAGTGGGTACTCATCCTCGTTTAACTAATGCAGTAAACGGTCCAAATATGCGTCCTGTGCAACATTTTTAGTCCAAATCAAATACTAAACTGTAGAAATAATATAATAATAATAATCTTCAAGTCAAAAATAGGGAAGATGAACTTTGTCTATATTCAATTTTGGTGGCATTAAATTTAGATATATTACTAATAAGTCTGTCTTCGATCTTCAATTCTCAAAGAAAAAGAATTTGAGGCAATGGATAAGGAAGGAGCTCTCTTTTGTTTGTTAAAAGGAATAATAATTTATTTATTTTTGAGTATCAATTTTTTTTAACCATATCTTATGTAAGGATGTTAAATGGGATGAGTTGAACCGCTCCACTCACTTACTGTAGGTTCGGTTCACCATTTTTTTCCTCTTTTAAAAAAAAAATAAAATAAAATAAAAATGCATGTATTTCTATATTTGACGAGTCGATGTGCACATGAGCCAACAAGTTTAAGAGCGAGCTAGCTTGCCTGACTCATGAGCTAGCTGGTAGAGCCAAATCTCTACTCGTCTCGCTGGTGACTTCAGAAAAAAGAATGTAGGAAATGATTTATAATTCAGTGTTCTTTATTGTCTCACACTTAACTCAATCGGTCCTTGTATTTCCCCCCTTGTCGCCCCTACCACATTTCGAATATGGGTGGACAAAAGTTAGTAGAATTATTGGATCGAATCAGAATCGGACCAAGACCGCCCAATTCGATTCGATTTTACTCAAATTCTAATATGTCTCTTTGGAATCAACCTGAGTTATTTTCATTACTTTATTATATCAAAATGAATGGAGAGAAATGAAAAAAGAAAGCCAAGCTATCCTCATATTGTCGGATCATACACAAATTGTGCAACTGAAATCTTGGAATACCATAATTATTCAAATTGTACTTTTTTTTTTAATACTAATCTATACCAACAAGAGAGGTGTCTTCGATTGAGGATAAATTAAAGGAAGGACGACTAGTTAATCGAGACATATTTTTCATAGACCTGAAAATGCTTCCGTTTATAAGAGTGATCGGAATTTTTTTAGAATAAAAATGACTGCTAAGGTTGGATCACCAGAGTGATCACTTCAAAATTGGATAATAGTAATTTTGCATGTTTTGATTTATACATGTAGGTTGAGGTTTTTGGAGTTTGGCTTAGAATTTGAAAATAAGAGAGAAAAATATTTTTTGAAAATAATGGGAATCAAACTGTGGCTTAGAAAAAAAATAATTCTAAATTTTTCAACAGAAGAGTAAAGACGAGAAATATAAAAATGGCAAGGGTAGCGGTGTCAAATTGGCTGGCCTAGCTCGGGTTCCAACACGACCAATTTAGTGTGGGCTGGGCCCAGCCCGTGTGTACCGTGGCCATGACCCAACTTGCTTTAGAAGAAAAGCAATGAAAAGTAGTAGGAGGATTCCCAATCTCAGCCTTGGATTCAAAGCAGGTGCATCTACTTTTTGGTACAACCGATTCGCAAAGATGAGAGAACGACCATGTTGGAGCAAATGATCGTCTACAATGCATACAGGTGCAATTTGCTGCAGTTATGTCCATTGATCAAACAAGGCTCTGATACCAATTTTATCGGGGTGCGCAGTGTAAGCGGAATAAATTTTAGATATTTTTTATTCTATAAATCTTGGGTCTAATTGAAAGTTTTTATGTTTTTATAGTGGTTTTGGTTACAATTTCTTGATAAGGGTATTTTTGGAAATTTAGCTATTCGGTTACCATGACAGAGTGAGTCATTCGGGTATAGTAGAATTATCCAATATAAAAATGGCAAGAGTAGCGGTGTCAAATTGGCTGGCCTAGCTCGTCCAACACGACCAATTTAGTGTGCGCTAGGCCCAGCCCGTGTGTACCGTGGCCATGACCCAACTTGCTTTAGAAGAAAAGCAATGAAAAGTAGTAGGAAGATTCCCAATCTCAGCCTTGGATTCAAAGCAGGTGCATCAACTTTTTGGTACAACCGATTCGCAAAGATGAGAGAACGACCATGTTGGAGCAAATGATCGTCTACAATGCATACAAGTGCAATTTGCTGCAGTTATGTCCATTAATTTAATAACTTTTATTTTGCAGCAATTAACAAAAGGTTTTAATAAAATATTAATAATAAGGTTAAAATCATGCCACGATTTATGTTCACAACTCACAAGTCATATCCCAAGGGTCTCTTCCAAGCCCACAATAAGGCTTTCTTTTATCTTTGAAACCTCATACATCTTCTTACCTAAGAACCTGGCTAGGAGGAATTTACCCAAGTTTTTTAGTCCAAATATGACCGTTGTCTGCCTTTCCATTGCTGCAGGCATTTAAGTCATCAGTAGAAACTATCACTTAGAAATGGTAGAAGTATATAGTACCTTTTTTATTACTTTGTACACATATCTTCCAATAATCAGATTTGACTATTCTTAAAGGACATCTTTGAAAATTGTGATAATTTAATGGAAGGGCAAATAAAGTCAATAGTTACAATGGGCCCCACTTCTGAGCTGCCCAAAAGTTATAAAATGACTTCGAATCTTGGGAAAATCCCTTCCAAATTGGCGCCAAGAATATCGTCTAGTGCTCTACGTAAGCACCACCACCTCAAGCACAAGATTGATGTCCAATACTCGGGATGAACTCTCCATCAACTTGGCGAGCTTGATGGTATGTCTACTAGTCCATGCTACGAGGGTCATTGATGTGCCCTCCAACATATCCTAATCATATTGGGACTCCACTATCCTAGTCTTAACGGGGATGGCAGTAGGCGCGAGACGAGTTGGAATTTAAAAATCCTCATTTAAGTATTTATTTATTTTTTAAATACAATTTAAATTAGAAAAAATAAAATACAATAAAAATTTAGTTTTGTTCTATTTACCATTCAAAGCGTGGCAGTGCGAAAGCGATTGAAGGCGGGCAAGCCATTCGTAAATCCCAAAACACCTCAACTAAATTAGATTACTCCACTTCTTAATTGCACATTTCATTCACTTTTATTAAAATCTATTAAAAATTTCATTTTTAGCTACACCAAAACTCGTCTATAACATATTTATTATCCTTTTTTCCACGATTATTAACATTAAAATCCCCACAAAATACTATTATTAATTATTAATACAACATAGATTTTACAGCCACTGCACAAACTTTAGCGTTTTCTACTGCAGGTTTTCTCATCCCATTCTCTCCTCTCTAAAACTCTCTTCACTTGTACTCCCACGCACTCAGTCCCTTAAATTCTACTCCACGGCCACGGCTTCAATTGCCATGTAGTGCATAGATTTTTTCAGTTCATCTACTTTCTCGCTCTACTTTTTTTTTCCAACCAAAATCACTTGTATTTTTACTAGTTGAACTTTGTATTCGAATTTCCTCCCAGAATTTCCAGTAAGTTTTTTTTTTCCCTCTTTTCGGTTTGTGAGTATATAAGTGTCTGTATGTGATATACAGCGACATTAATTATTATGACTATGATTTGTTGTTGTACATCGTTCATAAGACATTGTGCATAGTTTTGGCGGGATGTCACGTTGCTCAAAAAGATTCATTTTTGGGTTCTGATTCTTATGCGGAGCATAAATAGAACACGAGCTTGGCTCTAGGGATTCGACAAATAAGCCAAACTCGATAGTCCCTGAGGGGGATTCCTGCTGATAAAGTTGTTGATTGAGAATAGGTTACGACGCCTTCCGGGTATCAAGATATGAGAATGGAAATTGATCTGTCAGATTCTATCTGATAATAGGCACAATTACTACTTAACGATTTGCAATCGTTTTGGCAGGGTAAAAGCTGCATCTAAATTATCCATAGTTATTCAAGAAATTGTGCAACGTGAATATATTTTCCAACGTGTTTTCGTTACTTAAGAGTTTCAATTTATATTTTATAGTTACTTAAAGTTGATAATATATGGTAAAAAAATGTATTGCTTATTAGAGTCTCACATTGGCCGGTGATATTTACACGATCCACTTAATAAGGTAAGGGCAATCCTCCCCTAACAAGTCGGTTTTGTTAGGTTGAGTTAGACCCAATATCCTTTCTAATATGGTATCAGAACATGCCTAGTTTTGCAATGTTGGGTGCACCCAATATCGATTTTTTCACAATTGTTTGGCATGGTCCACGCTGTGCGTGAGGGGCGTATTAGATTTCTACATTGGCTGGTGACATTTACACGATCCACTTAATAAGGTGAGGGCAATCCTCCCTAACAAGCCGGTTTTGTTAGGTTGAGTTAGGCCCAATATCCTTTCTAATAGCAAGCTAGAAGAAATATGATTGCTGGTTCAAAATTTGATACCGGTCTGATGGACATGATTATATTTATAATGATCTGAGTTTGAGTATACAGATAAGATAAACCATTTGAAAATACAAAAATTAAAGGTTGCAACAACTAGATAAAATGCCAACTATTGTCCCTGGATTCTCTGCATTACTTTCGGGATTTCTCTAGAGGCTTCAGATTCTGTTTGATGAAGTTTATCCTTTATAAGTTGGTTATATTTATATTTTTATTCGATGTGGAATTCTATCCCTTAACATGCCCCCACAAGATGGTGGCTCGTTTGACCAAGCCAATCTTGAAATCCGTATGTTCACTTTTGAAGTCTTAATCGGATCGAATTGCTCGTTAGAGTTTAATGAACTCTGATACCATTTAAGAATTGAGATTCTATCTTAAAATGTCAACCTTATTAAGATGAGTAACACAATCCTTTATAAGTTGGTTTATGTTTACATCTTTATTCGATATGAGATTCTATCCTTTAACATTGCTGTCATGTGATTTGTTATATATTTTTTGAAACTTGGTGATACCTTGATTTTTTTTCATTTACTATCTCAGGCTAGAAGAATCATGACTGGCCATCTAGTTGACATCCATCCCTGTGAACTCAATTTTATATGTAAGTGCAATGTTGAGTTATGTTGCTCGGATAGATATGGATACGTGTAGCGTTTTATGGTTTATTTCTGGCCTTTGGCTGTGTAAATGCATACATCATATTGCATCCGAATCTAGGTGTATGCCATACATTTAATGATATCACTATAGTTTCATTCATCAGTATTCTTAAAAGAGAATTCTATCTAGAAACAAGGAACCCTTTTTTAACTTTCCTCAGAATTTTAGCTGCATTGTCTTGATTAGACTTATTTCCTGTCAGCTGGCATTGGATTGAATCTTCACACTGGGAATTAAAGTATTTTCATTCAGATTCAAATAGAAAATTTGTTTCCCCCAATTCCATGCGCTAAGCATGGGCATCCCGGAATTCATGTTTACTATTAAAGTACCATTTTGAGTCTCCTTCACTGTGTTTGTGGATACTTGGGATGATTGTGAAATGTATGCCATCAGATGACGGCTATTAAGTGTCGTGGTTCAGGATTTCTATCATTGCATACCTCCCAAAATTCTAACTGGTACGAGGTCTATAAGTTATTTGATCTCAATGAGAAAACTTTGTGGAGGTGAATTTTTATATAGTTATTTTAGATGTGGTAGGAAATATGACAGAATTATGTTGGGGCATGAATAAAGTTTAAGTTTGAAGCACTCAACTTGAGGAACATAGCCCTCTTAATGCATTTCGCAAATTCCTTTTAGTGTTGTAGTTTCCACCACCTACTTGCTCTTCTGCTCGTGAAAACTGTACCAGAATTGTCTGCATCCTCTTTTACCTTACCTTTCTAAAGGTAATAAATGCACATGGTAGCTATCTAGCTGTGCTATTTTGAGAAAGTTTACTGGTTCTTTTTCTGAAATTATGGTTCTGTCCTTAGTCAGAGGTTGAAAAAGAACTCTTACTGATTATGAGATTATCGAATAACAATATTTGTAATTCAAGTGATTGGGTTTTTGCAATCCATATCATGTATTCTTTAGGTTTATGCTTCTTGTTTAGGAACTGGGGAATGGCTTTATTATCTACTTTTGCTCCTCTCTTCATCAATTTCAATCACAAATTCACATTGCTTAAATGATTAATCATCATAATATCTATGTAAATCATACCTGCTGTTTAAATGACTGTTTAAATGATTAATCATTGTAATATCTATGTAATTTATATCTGCAATAGTACAAGTCTCACACTGCCTTCTCCTTAGTTGAGGTGAAGAAACAAAGTTCATGCTCTGTTCACCTCACCAATCTCAGTGATCAATACGTAGCTTTTAAGGTAAGCGACTTCGAACTTGCAGTACACTATCAGGATGTAATCTCTCCGGAAAGGATTTACAGCCTTTCTAGTTGTATGATAGTCTGATCAGAAACCATTCCTGCATTTGATTTCAGAATTTATAAAGTAATTATGTAAATTTAACACGATCTCCACTCTTTGGAGAGACTGGTGAAATGGCAATATAATTTATTTGGCAGGTGAAGACTACATCACCCAAGAAGTACTGTGTGCGACCTAATGTAGGCATAATCAAGCCAAATTCAACATGTGATTTTATAGGTATTTAAGTGTGTTCCTTGTTGTATACTGTCCAATTTCATGCTATATCTCCATAAATAACTTGTTTAATGTAGTTGCTTTCTATAACAGCACTTGGCTAATAATTTTTGAACACTAATTTTTTATCAATTATTTCATGTTGCATCATTGTCATTCATCACATGTACCCTGGGCAAATTAAGCACTATTTGTTTTCTGCAAATTCTAGGTATTGGTACCGATGGGCCACCAGTCTCTGACATTTTGGTTATTAAAATCAGATGTTTAGCATGTAGCTTAGCAGCTTCTTTGACTATTTGTAATACGATCCTTAGGATTTTAAATACTTTGCTACATTTATCTTCTTGGTGATGTAGTTACCATGCAAGCACAGAAATCTGCTCCTGATGATATGCAATGCAAGGATAAATTCCTGATTCAGGATACGATTGTGCCGTATGGCACAACAGAAGAGGAGATTACATCTGGCATGGTATGATTGCTCTAAAGCTGATTGATGACGATTATCTGGCCCTTATTCTTGTGTTTCAAAAACTAATATCGGAATAGTTTCAAAAACTGATATTCTTCTTGTGGCAGTTTGCAAAAGACGGTCATAAATATATTGAAGAGAGAAAGCTTCAGGTTTTTCTTACTAGCCCAGCCCATTCTCCCATGTTTCTGCCCGTTAATGGAATTTTGAAGCAAGAACCATCAAATGACACTTCAATCCCGAAAGAAAAATTGCAGAGCAGAGTTGAACATTTACCCCCTCCTCAGACGGTGAGAGATTTTAACATAATTTTTGCTTTAGCATTATGTGATCGATGCCAAGTGCCAACATTCAGGAGGCTTTCACTGCTTGTATGCTGTCAGCAGTTGATGAAAACTCCTCGATAATTGTTTTGTTATTTGAGATTGTGCTATTGGTTGTTTGATATCATGTCATTCAGCTGTATTGACATGTTCACCTCACTGCTCTAGTTTTCATATATGTTGAAATTATAGAAATTTTTAAGTATAATTTCGAATACATTATTACTCCAAAGTCAACTCGATGACTGTTTTTCTATATCGAATATCTCTGATTATATCGCAGAACCTTCCCCTTATTGACCTGACCCATAGTAAATGTCACTCTCTTTGGTGCAGCTAGTTAAAAACGTTGAGGATGCCAAGATTATCCCAAGCACGGAAAAGCTTATATTGCCTAATGTTGTGGAAAATGTGAAGTCTGTCCCCGCTAAGAACGCTAAGCTTAAACCTGGCAAGGATGAAGATTTTAAGCCAGACAAGTACGAGGAATCAAGACAAGTGCAGGATGTGGAAGAAACAAAGTTGAAATTCTCAAACGATATTGAGGAGTTGAAATCAAAAATAATTGCCCTGGATTCAAAACTAATTGAGGTTAGTTTCTTTACCTTGTCATATCAAAAGCTGCATATATTTCATTCTTGGGAAGTATATGCAAATAATATTACGGTGGTGACAAAATTTTTGACTTCCATGACAATTGTTTCAGGCCCAAGATACCATCACGATGCTAAAAGAAGAAAAGAAAAGTACCATTCATGAGAACGAAATATTAAAGCTAGAGTTGGTTAGTGACTTCACTTCTTTATCATATTCTCACCTTTTTTATTATATAGGTTAACCTCATTATACTGTCCCTCGAATGCTCCACCTACTTTCTTGTAATGGTTGAATGGGTATATATGACAGATTCTTTATTATTCATTTAAGATACATTACCTGGCTTTAGGTCATCAATCCAATTGATAGCTCTTGGAGAATATTTGGCTAAGGTTATAAATATTACTTATAGCACATGTTTGGTACACAATCTTTAAAACTCATTTTCAATCATATATTCTTTCAATAAAATATGTACACAATCTTTAAAACTCATTTTCAATCTTATATTCTTTCAATAAAATAATTTCACGCGTGGATCCATAACTTTTCCCCACTTGTAAAGCACATATTCTCCAAAAAAATCAATTTTCACAGTTTATTCTTAAAAAAATTACATCAAACAAGCCATAAGTAAATAAGTAAGCTTTAAAATAAATTATTTTTATATTGGTCGAAGTTTGCAATTGCTAATTAATAAGTTCTTTATCTGACTTGTAAACATGTTTGGGAGTTGTTTATAATCGATTTAAATTATAGATAGAAACGAGCGGTTGATAAGTGGGTAGTACTTTTGAGTTCCACAAAATATGTGGATAAAAAGTGATTTGACCGATTATAAACAAGTGCCAAACAAGGGAGCATAAGAATTACATTCAAAAATAAGTAATTCTTCATTCCTAAAATTAAGAGAAAAAGCAATATATTTTCGACATGTTTTGAAACTAAAGGTGGCTTTAATTCAACATAGTAACACCTGTTCTTTACAGGTAATGTCGAGGAGAAAGATTGGCGCAAGAAAAGTTCAAGTTGGATTCCCCCCTTTGTTCGTTTGCATGGTAGCGCTTATTAGTCTGGTTGTAGGATGCTTGTTGCGTGCATAGTACAGGAGTTTATGCAGGTGTTCGTGTAACTATTTAGATATGTATTTCAATGTGCCTGATAGAGATGGCGCTAATATGTGGATTACCATGCCCATCCTTTTGTACTATGATCTTCAATGATAGAAATCTTTCAACGCGAATGTAAAGAGAACTAGTTTGTCGAATAGAATAAGAATGCAAGCTTTCAGTTTCACCCAATCTTCAGGATTCTATGCATAGGGTCATGCTGTAAACAAGGTTCAAGTCTACTATTTCATTAGGATGCCTAAACTGCATATATTACTGCTACCAGTGAGTTAAAATGCCTCGACTGCTTATGTCGACTGATATTTTCTTGAATTCTTAGAACTTTTGCCGCTCCATCCCCACAAGGATGGAGAACTCTGTCGGTCTGTAAGCTTCGCGAAAGTATCACCACAACTTGTGATCCAATATGGATCTACTTAATGCAAGCCTAATAAGCCGGAAAATATTACAGTGAGAGAAGCTAAAGACCATTTACTCAACCAATTTTTCCAATTCAATCCTTTCTTTTTTATGGAAAATAAGGATCGTGAAAACGCAAAAAAGTTAAGCACTGATATAGCTTAAATTATAATTGGATTCTCATATTAACTCGTGTACAAGAAAAACAATATACAATACTATGGAGTTTATATAAAATTCCAGTTTCCCACACAAACTATTAGGCAAGTGAACATTACGAAACAAATAGTTTTACAATCCATGCTATTTTAGACATCCGCTTGATCTCAATAACGAAATACGCTATAATATTAACAAATGAAAGCCAAAAATTGATTATGTACACCACCTAGTAACACAGAGCTAACGATCTAATTCAGTGTTCTTGCAGCTTTTCGAGTTCTTCAGGGAAACGATGCACGCTTCTTTCTGTTGGAGAGCCGGGTACAAAAGGAACAAAACCACGACCACCAAAAACAGGACGCATGAAAGCATTATCGAATTTTCTCCAATAATAATGGACAGTACGAGAGGATAGGAGCATCCGTAAACTGTTTGGACGGGGTATGTTTTGGCCAACCCCACTAGCTTCTGAAGTTTGTCCGTGTGTTATGCTTTGTCCATACAGATCGGTTAAGGAATCCTCCTGCTCACCGCCAAGAAGTGGCAGTGTGATGGAATGCGGGGTAATTGGCTCTGATGAAATCATTCTGATTAATTGTTTTGATGAAGGTAATAAGAACCTCACCAGAGGTTTAGTGATCAAGCCAAACACCTGCATTGACCCAAAAGGCCATATGTTCATATCCACAATAAATGAAGTATAAAAGTCATGTATCGAACCACCACATTCAAAAAGTTCACAATGTCGAGAGAAGTAATTTCTCTAAGGTCCGTTTGATTGCAAGAACGAAATTTGGGTGAAAAGAAAATGAATTCTATGGAATTAAATTGCATAAAACTTGTTTTACTGATAATTGTCAATTAATTGTGTTTCATTGGAAAAATATTGAAATTTTGGATCTTTTGGTGTTCGTTTGACTTTATTTTCCATGAAAATTGTCTATTAAAGAGATATAATTTGTTTCCATTGCAAAAAAAAAAAACTGCCTAGAAAACTTGATTTACCTCAAAAAGCAAGAAAATGTGGCAAACCAAGAAAATGTGAAAAACCAATTACCTAAAAAATGTTTCCCATCACACACACTAAAAAGTGAAATGGCAAAAAAAATTTCATCTTCCATGGAAAACTTGACCTATCAAACAGGGCCTAAGTAGATTATTGATCAGATAAAGGTCGGGTATTCAAGTCTTGGAGTCACCATTTTGAAAACTGTGACGAGGTGTTTCGAACATTTTGGAATTGCACTAAGCGAAAATTTACAAAATTAGGATGATGGATTTCCAAAAAATGTTGACCCAGTTGTGCATCTTTCCAAACAGTTTTCAGAAGCTTGAGATATCTTACCACAGTGCTAAAAAGAACAACTGTTATGGTACTCGTAATCATAATAGCATTCTCACGTACATTGGTGTGTCCCGAACTTGTAAACTGCACGAGTGAAATGCAAAACTTTGTTAGAATTCCTACGATATAGAATACAAACTTACCAACCCTTTATCGTTTCCCAAAACATGTTAATAGAACAGCATTATCAATCTACGTAAAGGTCATAGAATTATTTGTGAATCTTAAAGAGGGGAAAAGGACTTGAACATAATATTTTGATAATTAAGATTAAATAATGATTGTCATTTAATATAAAATCTTCGATAGTTTAAATAATTTTCAGTTGCAAATATTTTAAAAGAAAAATTTAAGAGCGATGGCTCAGGTCAACTGAGAAATGAACTAGATTAAACCAAACTGAGTACCAATAAGAATTCTATATATCTATAAAAAAAACCAAATAGTTCCATGCAGAGTATTTATTAATTGAACCAAAACAAACAAGCACCGACTTGTCCAGGTTTAGTTCATTCCTATTCCTGTTGCACTTCAAAAAAATTGCTCGTGTGTCAAAACTCGTGTATATTTTCTTACTTAACTTTCTTACATCTAGTTTTGGGCAACAAAAGTATTGATTGATTAAAAAATGCTCAAAATATTGTGCATGCACTTTCAGCGTTGATAAAGGTGGGGAAAAACATTCTATTTCACTGAAATAGTCATAGCTAATAATTTACCTGTTTATAAGCAAGCGCCATCGAAACAGCACCTCGCATAAGACCAGCCCACCAAATTGTAATCTGCAAATCACAAATGGGAGCATTGTTAGATAGCCCAAACAAAGGAGAATGTTGTACAGTTGACAAGATTATTTCTGAGCTCATACTTGCTTCTTAAAGTCGATTTTATTATATGGAGACTTCTTGGTCAAGTTAGACAGGAACGATAGAGGAAAAATGAAGGCTGCTCGTCCAACCAAAACCAATCCCATCAGAATTCCACTGACAGAAATTGATGTCTTCAGGCTGACAATAACCAAAAAAGTCAATGTTTTTCTAACCAAATAGCATACAAAATCTCTTCTTGTAAAGTTCATGAAACTACAATATGGTGGCTAAGCCTCCATTTGGGAAAAATTTATAAATTGTTTAATTCATAAATTGATAGAAATGAATGATGGATAGAACTTGTGGGTCCAACGGAATGTATGGTTAAAAATGAAATTTGATCATTTATAAATTTTGCCAAGCGGAGGCCAAATATTTCATCTACTTATAAACCATACCTGCTACTTACAACACGCCACTTCTCAATGTCCAGAGCATCCATGCCAACATAAAGAAATATGAATATCTCAGCAACAAATGACAAAGTGGCAAAGGCGTGCCTGCGGAATAGTTAAAGATACAAATCAATAAGAAACGTCAATTGATTAAGTAACGTAGGGTATGGGAAGCGTCATAAGCAACAATGTATTCTAAAAGTGTATGTTGTGCAAGGGAACGCCATACTTGGTAGTGACTCTTGAGTTCTCGGTGACATTATGCCAGGTGTAGTGTGACATCACAATGCCGCAGAAGAACACAGTGAGTATAGCGCTTAAATTGAATAACTGCACGACATATTAGGCCGAAAGAAAGATTCATTTGTTAAATCGGAACAATAGGTAAAGGCTTCTTAAAAGTTGTCAAAGAAGAATGCCAAGTTCTATAAGCTCCTTGCAAGTTGTGCAGAATACTTACTTCAGATAGCATGTAGGAAAGATATGCCAAAAGCATCATAATGGCAACCTCACGATCTGTGGAATGCCTGTAGTTCATCAAACAATTAGTCATAGAAATTAGAGAACAGTACTGGTGAAGAATAGGCTTTTCTCTTAACAAACGATTTCTTTTAAACATATCATGTCTATCTATCAGAACATTAACGATGAACATCCTACAATTCATAAATTCATTAGGTGGTTTATTGGGTATATGAAATTTGTATATATCTTGTCCCATTCAGGTTAAGTTGGCCAAAAAACCCTTATCTGACTTGAACCGAATCTATCAAAAATAAAAATGCACATATATCTGGTGCACAAAAACTCGATGATTTTGTTAAAAAATTATGAGACCTACGAACTTTTTTGAACTCTTGTGCAAACATAAATTTATTGGAAAAGTAAATAACAAGTATCAACTTCAACTCAATTAAGGCTGAAAACAAAATAACATGCATGGATATCCTCACAAACCTTCCAAAGTAGAGTTTCTTTATGACGTATGCACTAAGCAGTCCAGCCTGCAGCAGATGAAAAATGTGAAAAATTACTCAATTTAAAGAATTTAGAAGCTTAAACTCACAACACACACCTCCCACAGAGAGTGGGGGTGGGGGTGGGGGTGGGGAATGAATACTCACAACAACTCCCAATATGGTGCTTGTTATGAATAAATACAAAAAATTCCCAAATAGCTCCAAAGCTATAGTGGTGTTTATATGAGTCAGGTCAAGATTCTGAACTGCATTGAAGAGAACCACGGATGTCGCATCATTTACGACTCCTTCCCCAAAGACTAGACTGTACAATAAAGGTGTCTCATCCTGATTTAGGACCTGTAGCATCAGATATAATGCATCAGGCAGTGAAGCAAGATTTTCTGTTCTGATTTCAACAGCATAATGCGGCAAAATTTACCTGCAAGGTGCATACTGAATCTGTTGCAGCGAAAATTGCTCCAAGTGCTGAAGACAGTTTTTTTTTTTTTTAGTTTGGAACAAAGACAAACGCGTTAGGCTACAATTTTTGTGTGTGTGTGTGAGAGAGAGAGAGAGAGAAGTACCAAGATATTCTCCAATTGCCAGATTAATATCCATTTGCTGGAGAAGGCCAATAGCACCTGTCACAGAGTTTTGAAGATGTAGGCAACAGCACGATCATTTACATTCTAACAGATGAAATGAATGTCAATTAAATTTATAGAAATATTCAGAACCCAAAAAATTCTGAAAAGGCAATGATCTTCCTGTTTTTCAATTTTTATTCTTTATTCTTTTCCTTCAAATTTTCCTTCTGATCCTCAAAATCAGTGTTGTTCAATTCAAGCAAGGGGGCCAAATCTACAAGTTTCCCTTGTCATGCATCACCCCTTCTCTCTCCAAAATCCAAAAGAAAGAAGAGCTTAATTAGGCTATGGGAACATGCTATTTAGATGCTAGAATTAGGTTTTACAAGAGGAACCGAAGTTCAATTGAACGGATACACATATATACTTTGATGGAACAGAAAGCCTTTCCTGCATTCTGTTTTCCATGAATGAGAACATGAAGTTCAATTGAACGGATACACAGTTATACTTTGATGGAACAGAAAGCCTTTCCTGCGTGCTGTTTTCCATGACTGAGAACAGATTTTCTTAAAGGAGTTTGATGACATGCAAAAGTATAAAGTAAAGAAATTCTGTCTGTAGCTTTTGAAGTCCAAATTTTAAATGAATAAATGTGGCATCTCTGTAACAACTTAAACATTTAGATAAGGTGGTTAATACGGTAGAGCAACAAAAAATATCTAGATTTACTTCTTGCCGCCACCCATTTATGAAAATTTTGCACATGTTTAATGAAAAATGATTCTAGCCTGCATGTAAGAGAGCGTGTTGAAAATCAAATTTAAATATATAAGCATGGCTTACATCTAAAACCTTGAGATTTTAGATGAGGTGGTTAATATTAGTAGAGTGGACAACATCTTACATGTGAACATTAGAAGAAGTAGAATCGATACTCGTTAAAAAGTATGCATCAGCCAGCTAAGATGATTTATTTATTTTTCATTATCGTTAAATTTGTTTAGCTCTTTCCATATAAGTTCAATTGAACGGATACACAGATATACTTTGATGGAACAGAAAGCCTTTCCTGCATGCTGTTTTCCATGACTGAGAACAGATTTTCTTAAAGGAGTTTGATGACATGCAAAAGTATAAAGTAAAGAAACTCTGTCTGTAAGTCCAAATTTTAAATGAATAAATGTGGCATCTCTGTAACAACTTAAACATTTAAATAAGGTGGTTAATACGGTAGAACAACAAAAAATATCTAGATTTACTTCTTGCCGCCACCCATTTATGAAAATTTTGCACATCTTTAATGAAAAATGATTCTAGCCTGCATGTAAGAGAGCGCGTTGAAAATCAAATTTAAATATATAAGCATGGCTTACATCTAAAACCTTGAGTTTTTAGATGAGGTGGTTAATATTAGTAGAGTGGACAACATCTTACATGTGAAACATTAGAAGAAGTAGAATCGATACTCGTTAAAAAGTATGCATCAGCCAGCTAAGATGATTTATTTATTTTTCATTATCTTTAAATTTGTTTAGCTCTTTCCATAAAGATCCGAAAGAGCAAGAGAGGCATTAATGATTTTCTTGTTAGATATTAACAAATATTGTTTAGACTAGATATACAAGAAAAGGTAATTTATGCATACCAAATGATATAACGACGAATGAAATCAAAGTACCAATTGCTCCAAACAGCATTATAGTTGAGAAATTGCGAAAAAATTGTTTCTTTTTGACCTGGAACCTGATGAATAGTGTGAGTAAAAAAGAACAGTACTTAATATAACCTGTGCAAACCATTACAATTTACAAACATAATTAGCTATCATTATATATCATTAAATTAACATACTCCCTATTCCAAAGGTCTTTAGGGGCTCAATAAGGTTATCATTACTATTTGAAGCAACAAAAGGGTAACAAAAGTAGGAATACTCGTACTCAACCTAAAAAATATAGTAAACATTTCTTGTAAAATGCTTTGAGACAAAACATTTGAAGAGGGAAAAAAGTGCAAATCATAATACGAGAATTAATCTCTTCAAACTTTTCCATTCTTTGTCTTGAATTTACTTCAAAATTTCTTAAATTCAACACAAAGATGAAAGATTGGAAAGTATAGAACAGTTAACCCTGTGAGCTATGGTTGGACGCTGACCCCTTAAGAAGTTAAAGATTCGTTAAATAGTGCGAGCATGCAAGAAGTGTGTTTAGTAGGCATTTCGGTTTTTTTTTTTCCTAAGGTCTTTCCTTTTAAGTATCACGGTTCCTACAATACACTCACTAGTCATTTTCCATACTGCAGTTGAATTGTCACCTCTTAAGCTACTCACAATTTCTACTGCAAATCCTATGAGAACAACTGAATTTCGAGAATAAAAGAGGTGAAACACTCAAGTACTTGGCTGCATCTAAGAATGAATTCTTGGATATCTTGCAGTGCGAAAGAATTTGAATATAAATATCGAAAGAAAAAACCCAAGATTGTACTTTTAAAACAGAGAACAATACGTTGAAACACCTGACATACCCGGCATTAAAAATGATTGGTGGAAGAAGATAAATGAAGAAAAGATCTTCGCTAAAGATCAAAAGACGCGAGCTTTTTCCACCACTTATTAGTAGAATCCCAACTCCAGTGCATACACCCTGTCATTTAAGTACTCGCAATTACTTAATTACGTGAAAAACGGATAAATAGACGCTCAACTCCGCTAATATTCATACACATGTACTTACAATTATAAGGGCCGTGATGGATTCATTCATCCAGCGACTTTCCTCCAAGAGGTGACCGATCACAATACATGCACAAAGAAGTGCGACGAATAAGGTAATCGCAACCACTGAAGTGTTGTCAGTGTCCGATAAGATGTTCATCTTTTGTAGCGTAGTTCCCAAGTCAAACCCCATTTGTTCAGAGACTCAAATCACCGGATAGTATCCAAATTCCTAGCCGATCTCACTTCAATGTTTTGAAATCTGATCTCTGAACCTCATCCAATAAACTGAAATCAGCTATCACGCAGCCAATTGTCCGTGCCATACAGGGAAAAGTACGATTTTAAGATTATTGAGTCGATCAATTCAAGAAAAGCTCAACGTTGTTAACAGTAGTGAAAGTACACATCCAGATCAAAACAACCCAAAAATCAACTTCGTACATATAGTTGCTTCAAGAACAAACAAACATTCGCGTTACGTCTAAAAAGTACAGAAATGTAAAAAAAAATCGTAAATTTACCTGTCGAATTCGAGAAAAATACATTAAAGCCCAACGATCAACTCAAATACCAAAAAAAATTGCTTTTCCTTTCAAATAAACACCTATCTTCCCAGAATCACACAAACTCAAAAAACCAAAGTCGACTTGCTCTAAACACCAGAAAACAAAACTGATAAACAACAAACTGCAGAATTCAAAGTCAAACGCAGATTCAATCTCTTTCGAAAAATCAGTTCGTTTAACTGAAAAATCCAAGCTTTCTTTCCCCAAAATTAACTGAACCTTAAAGCAGCTTGAACTGAAAGTGACGAGTTTGAGACTTCTCTTCAATTTCACGAAATTATACTTTACAAAAGCGTGAAACCAACTGATAATTCTAGAGAGGAGAAAAATGACAAGAGGGGTCGGGGGCTGATTGTGAAAGAGAATGTAACTGTAATATGTCAGAAAATAAAATTGAAGTATACGTGGAACTAAACAGGGCCGTTCCATTTGTGGGCCTATGATTGATATCAGCCGTTGATTTATGGTTATAACTTTGTTGAAATAATAAATTTGTGTATTAATGGAAATTCGGGAATTAGATATCCTAATTTTCAAACTTAAAAAACAAGGTTGGTATTTAGTTTCAAGGTCATGCTACGTGTACACAATGATTTACAATTTGGTTTACATCCATGTGTAATGTTACATTTACACAATGATGTACACTTTGATTTACATCTCCGTGAAGTGACAAATTTCAATACATTGATCTTGACAATACATTTTTCATTAAATGATTAAATTGTTGACAAATAAGAGGTGTCAACAAATGTGTACATATTTGGGTGTACAAGTAACTTTATCGTTTAGCATGACTAAAATTATTTCAATAGAGCTAATTGTACAACAATTATTCACAACTTGGTTGACAACTAGTGTGTTGAATGATTTCAAAAACAGTTTTTTAAATGAATGAGTATGATGTTCGCCAACTCACGAACTGTATACCAAGTTGTACACGTAGCATGATTCAAATTATTTTCGTAATGAAAAGAAAAAGATATGGCAGTGCGATTTTAGATTTGACATTAAAATTTAAGATGCTACTATCATAATATTTTTTGAAGTACTAGACTAGTTATAGTTAGTAATACGTAAAAATATGTCCAAACGTCTTTGAAAATATTTATAGCATAGCGGATTAAAGAGAGAAATCATATCAAGATGAACATGATAGAAGGTGCTACTTATTTTGCATGTCCACGTCAACTTACTCCAAGCACTACTGAGAAAGAAAATTATATTCTTGTGACGATCTAGTTATCAATTTTGAAAATAATATCTTAAAATTTCATTAATAAAAATTCAAACTTATCTGAAATAATTAAATAAAAATGTGCCGACAAATATCTTGTTAAGCTGAGGTAAAGCTGAGCTTCGAAGCTTCTATGTGTTCCCCACACAGTTCTCTTATTCTACAAGGACCACATAAAAAGTCAATTACTTATTGTGGCAATTATTCAAATTTCAAAGAGGTCTTCCGAAATTGGAAAATTGTGTTTTTCTGATTCTTGAATCCCTTTCAAGCCATATAAGTACAAAAGTAATTTTTTTGAAAAAATAAGTACGTAATTAATTTACTTTTAGGGATAATTACAGTAGTGGTCCCTAGTCGTTCATTTTTTTGTAGATTTTAACATAACATTCACTTTGTGCCAGACACAGTCCCACATCTTTCAAAAATTCGCACCTGAGGTCCAAATGGACGAAAACCACCAATCTTGTCGTTAGTTGATCAAAAAAATCAAAATTTGATCAAGTTTGACCGAATTAGGCAAAATTGTACTTTGCATTTTCACACATTAGATTTTAAAATTATATACATAAACTCACCTTCTTTTCCATTCCACCCGTCCCAGCCCACCTCACATACTCAAAACCAGAAAGTCACCCAACCACCATCGCCACCAAAAGTCTTCCCTTTCCAATTTCTTCATCGCTGCCCGATCGATGAAGCGATTTTGACTGCTTCCCAGCAATTTTTTCACTACTCCCGATCTCGCTTCGGGTCTACATGTTGGTTCTATTTACCACGTTAATAACACAAATCAAATTCGATTTACGACCGCACCGACTACACTAGCATCACTAACTCCACCTACACCACAACTATTCCGTCAACCCATTTACCACATTAACACAAATGAAAACCCCAAATTACTTTAAAACAGAGGAAACTGTCATCGTGGTTGAGGAGTGAGCCATGGGGACCTTGAGAGTGGGATCGATGTCATTGAGGAAAAGGAAGCTTTGGTTGGCACATTGAAATTTGAGGCCAACGTAATCGACGAGAGGTATTGCCATCGAGCTTCCAAAATTTGTACGTGTTAGATGGGGTGATTTCCGACCAATGGCACGATGGAGAACAAAAACTAGACGAGGAAGGAGTAGTGATTTTGGGTTCAATTTTGGAGAGAGCAGCAACGATTGAAGCAGACGACAAGATGAATTTGGGTTCAAATTTGATTTTCAGTTTGGGTTCCAGTTGATAGTGGAAAATATGATGGTTGTGGGTTTGGTGGTGGTAGTAGTGGCGGCAGCGAAGGCGACTGCGACGACAATGGGTAAAATTATTTCGATTTTGAGGGTAGAGGTGGGGTTTGGACAGGAATGTGGATAGGGATGGCGAAAAACCCGACAGACCAGATACCTAGAATTCAATACTTTAAATGAAAATTTTCACAAAATTCCATTAGTTCTAAAATTTTAGTTTATCAAATATATTTAAATAATTTAACTTTAAAAAATAAGTAAAGATTAAAAAATATATTATTATCTTAGTCTAATAAATGAGTGCAATAAAATGAATTATCAAAAACGTTAAAAAAAATTAAATGGGGTAGTAAACAAGATAAGAGCATCGCCCCGCCTTAAATGAGTAACGAGGTGAGGACGAGAATGGGAATTGTTGGCGAGGGAGGTTGCCCCGACCCGCCCTGTTGCCATCCCTAAATGTGGAAGAGGATAACTGTTTTTCAATTTTTTTATTTTAAATTTTAATTATTTAATGTGATAAAATTTTATACTTACTATTTTGCTCTTATAAAATTGGTTAAAATTGATCAAATTTAGATTTTTTGGTCAACTAACGGCAAGATGGATGGTTTTCATCCATTTGGACTCCAGGTGCAAATATCTAGAAGGTTTGGGGATTGTGGTTGGCACAAAGTGAAGGTTGGAGTAAAATCTGCAAAAAAGTAAAAGGTTATGGACCGCTGATGCAATTATCCCTTTACTTTTTATAAGAGCTTGTTTTGGAGGTATTTTAATCCAATTAAAATTGAAAACATAACAGTTATTGGGTCTTACTTGTCTAAAAAAAGTCAACAATAACGACTAGATTTTCAATTTTAATTTTTACTTTTTATAAGAGCTTGTTTTTGAGGTATTTTAATCCAATTAAAATTGAAAACATAACAGTTATTGGGTCTTACTTGTCTAAAAAAAGTCAACAATAACGGCTAGATTTTCAATTTTAATCCCTCCCAAATAAGTTATAAGCAACCATTCTTGAAAGAAGTTAAGACTTTCGACACTCAAGTAAACATTTTCGTCTCACCTTCATTCCCCATTTCTCGCATGGAGTCTTCCCTTCTAATACATAATTCTCTCGTACCAACGGACAAACTTCAATAATCATTTTGAAACAACGTAAAGCCCCAATTTGATGGAAAATAAAATTAGATTTTAATAGAAGTTGATGAAATATATTGTTCAAAAGTTATGAATCTCATAAAATATGTGGTTAAAATTAATTTTTAAATATGATTTACTTAAAAATCTAAATTTTAATTCCTATCAAATAGGGGCAACATTTGACAAGTGAAGTGTCTAATTGTGCTTTTGACCTGTCCGTCGATGGGTATTTTATTACTATCAAATTTAGCACCATATGATTTGTACTTCAAAAAAATATATTTAAAAACAATAATAGAAAAGAAAGAGACGTGACTTGCAAAAATTAATTTTATATTTAAGGTTTTTATGTTTTAGTCTTCTACGGGATCTTTATTTATGCGTGTAGTGTTAGGTATAGACACTTGAAGTATTTTCATACATCATGTTAGATGGTCACTCACATTAATCTAACTTGGAAAACAAATAAATAAATAAATGGCGTGTATAAAATACTAGTTCTTTGAAAACGATTATCGAGTGGGGTTGACCAAGTCTATGAAGTATAGATATTTTAAGTAAGAACTTGTTTGGGAGGGATTTTAATCTAATTAAAATTGAAAATATAGCTGTTATTATGTTACACTCGTCTAATAAAAGTCAACAATAACGACTAATTTTTCAATTTTAATCCGATTTTAATCTCTACCAAATAAGCTCTAAATGAAAATTACTTAATTTCAAGTAAGTGAGTGTGTTTGTGAAGGATTTTTAAAGGTCAAGAGCATTTCTTGAGGGCTGGTCTAATGGTAATGGAATCGACCACTTTAAAATTCTTCGGACGATGAATGTTGCAAAATTTTGTTTTATCATTCCTTGAAACATAATCACATCTTAGGAGTTTAAATGATAAATTATAATGAGGGAGAGAAGAATTGGATGAGAATCGATTAAGAGAGGGCAAAATGTTAAGTGTTTTACTTTGATTTTAATTTATTTTACTGTTTTTAGCGTGTTTTGAGCATTT